ATTTTAATTTCTAATTGTAATTTTATTAATCTGACCCTTGACCAGAAATTATTCTGGAACTTTCCTACCCATTTATTATAAATACACGAATGAACAGCCGTCTAGTTGATGACTTCGTCGAAAAGAAAATTTTCTTCTGTTTTATTATTTCTGCATATTTAATCCCTGATTGCATGGACAATTATTCGTCACATTAGCTTTGATCTCACTAGATTTTTTATCCAAACATCCTGTCTATTGTTTTTATTTCTACATTTCTAACCCCTAATTGCACAATATGTCAATCTGCTCAGTAATTATAATACTACTTTGTTTGAGTTTTATCCGTACCCCTGTTTATTATAGCATTTTAATTAATAAAATTACTAAGTGTAATTAACAGAAGATAGGTAGGTAGTGGCATTATTCTAGAAATATTTCAGGCCAAAGGTCAAATTACAAATTACAATATGTAATAATCAGGAAGATCGAGTAGAAAAGACAAAGTAGGATTCTGATTACGAGAAAACTAGTCAGTGTGTATAATTTCGGATTAAGGATGTAGTATTAACGAAATGGGTAGGAGGTTCGGACATATAAAAATAAAAGGTAAATATAACAAATAAACGGGAAGGTTGGACAAGAAAGGTTATTAGGATAATCATTATTGGTGAGACTAACTTTTCATGATGACCACGGTAGGGACAACGGTTGGACGTATTTCTTTTGGACACAGAACAGGCTTGAGTTTTTGGATCGCCAGTACCTCAACTATTCCTACATGTCTTTGTGGTGAGTGCTACTTATAATCCGATATAAGTAGTATATCAGGAACGAAGTAACAACATGTTTGGCACACTGGAAAGAGCAATCAAAGAAGAGAACCATGAGAAGAATGTTGCCATATGATGCAGAATCCAAGAAGCTATCGAATGAGACGATATTCGACCAATTCGTCAAGGATGTGGTAAAGATGTGCAAATGGCCGGTTTAGAATATGGTATTCCAAATTTAGCTATGTACCATACGTTTCACCAAATAAACAATCCTTTCAGTCTCCTCAGTCTTGTCTTCTTCACATTTGGTGTCGCTGCCTCTGTCGGAGATGAAGGTGCCGTGGCCGCAGGTGTTCGAGGATGGAGATGTGCGGACGTTCCTCAGGGACTTCGAAGCTGTCGCGGAGCTGGTTGGAGTGCAGGAGCAGAAGGCGAAGCTGGTGGTCTTGGGAACGCTGCTGAGGGGCCGCGCGAAGGCTGCGTACGACAACGCTCGGGAGCTGGAAGGTGAGGCGGCGTGGGACAAGGTCGTCGAGAGGCTCGTGTGCGAGTTCGACAGCCCTGCGGACCGACAAGAGGCGCTGCAGAAGTTTCGGACGCTGAGACTTGGCCAGGATGGGGATCCGTTGGTTCTCGCAGTAACGCTGACGAATCACCTGCGACGCGCGTTACCCACCCTAGACGAAGATTCACGGGAGCAGTTGCTTGCATCTCAGTTCCTCGAATGCGTCCCGACAGATATCGCTCATCAGTTGCAGCTAGTTAACGCAGCTCAGCCAATGGATGTCTATGAAATGGCCAAGGTGACAAGGCAGATAATGACCTCGCATGTTGCTCCAGTGATGTCGGAGGGCCAAGATTCCAAGAAGATTGAAGACCAGATTGAAGAGTTGAAACAACAGGTGGCAGCTATGCAGAAAAAAAACAAACAACAGGTGCTTTGCTTGCGGAGGAACCGGTCACTGGCAGAGAAACTGCCCGAAAAGAAGGCAGAAAAACCTTAAACGATACAGTCTTCCTTCTTTTTCTCGCTCGCGTTTAGAGGTGGTCGGGTTAGTCGAAAGAGGTTCAGTGTACGGGAGATTACGAGTGAACGAAAAAGAAATAGTTTGTTTGATCGACACAGGGGCGGCAGTTTCGTTGATAGGTAGAGAACAGTGTAAGGAAATAAGGCCGTGCACATTAGCAGTTCAGACGGTAGGAGGACATCCGTTGCACATTCTTGGCGTTTCAGACTGCGTTGTAGAGATTGGAGCAGGAAAAATACGATATCCGTTTATTGTAACTTCTGATATAAGACGAACGATTTTGGGAGCAGACTTTCTCAGAGAAGCAGGAGCTGTAATCGATATGAAGAATAGAAAAGTGGTCACAAAACACGGGCAATTCGCGATACATGAGAATAGTGAAGTCGCTGAGGTGGAAACCACAACCATTGTTCAGCAAGAGGCACCACGTCTAACCACGTTGATGAGTAAATATGCCGGTTTATTCACCAGTGATGGAGACCCATACGGTTATTGTGATAAGGTAAAGCATAACATCCCACTGAAGGATACGGGGAAGACAGTCTTTTCATCGCGACGAGTTCCCGTTCACCTTGAAGAAGAAGTTAACCGACAAGTCAGAGAAATGTTAAACGACGGAATAATCGAAGAAGCCGACAGTCCGTACAGTTCGCCAATCCTTTTGGTGAAGAAAGCTAACGGGAAATATAGATTTTGTGTCGACTTCAGACAGCTGAATAGCCTCACCGAAGTAAAACAGTGTGTAATGCCTACCGTAACAGAAACTCTTGATCGCCTTCATAAAGCCAAGTTATTCACCGTGTTCGACCTACGATCGGGTTACTGGCAAATCCCAATAGCAGAAAGTGATCGAAGTAAGACAGCTTTCACAGTCGGGCAGAAACAATACCAGTTTAAACGAATGCCATTTGGATTGGTAGGTGCCCCATTTACATTCAGAAGATTAATGACCTTATTACTGAAGGGTCTGAAGAACGTAGAAGTATATGGAGATGACTTGGTGGTGTATAGTGAGACAGAAAGCGACCATATAGACCACATCGAAGCTATCTTAAAGAGAATTGATGACTTTGGACTGCGTATTAATAAGAACAAGTCCCAAATAGCTAAAAACACGGTGGTCCTCCTGGGTTACAAAGTGGGAAATGGCGAAATACGGCCATTGCCGGAGAAAATCCTGACGGTCAAAACCAGCGAAGTGCCAAATTCAAAGCGAAAGCTGAGACAGTTTTTGGGAAGAGCGGCATTCTACAGCCGATTTGTCAAAAATTTCAATGAGATAGCAAAACCGCTATATACGTTGCTGAGTGACGCAAAATTCATGTGGACGGAAGAGGCACAGCAAACGTTTGAGCGAATTAAAGAGCTGTTAGATGGTCAACAGATTACGTTGAAACTGCCAGCGCCGGGGAAGCAGTTCACAGTTTCGACAGACGCCAGTGATTATGGTATAGGTGCTGTTTTAAGACAAACAGATGGGGTTGTTGAATACGCTAGCCGTGTGTTGACACTTGCAGAACAGAAGTATTCTACGGTGGAAAAGGAGTGTTTAGCTATCGTATGGGCACTAGAAAAATGGAGACCATATCTGATCGGCCGCCGATTCCACATTGAGACCGACCACAAACCTCTTCAGTGGTTGAAAACAGCACGGGATCCACGAGGGAAGTTATCACGATGGATGTTACGCCTACAAGAGTATGACTTCACGATTGGACATATTCCAGGAAAAGAAAATGTAATAGCTGACTATTTGTCGAGATCAGATAATGAGACTGAACTACCAGAAGTAGCGTATCCAGTAAACGCTTTGGAGCAAGATCCCTTACAACTTGTTCGCCACCAGAAGTCGGATCCTACTCTTAAGACAGTCATTCAGATGATACGTGAAGGGAAAGAAATTGAAATGGCAGCAGAGAATAGAGAGTTAAAGATGCTACTGCAGCAAAAACATAAACTCAAACTAAACGCTGCCGGCGTCCTAACTTGGAAAGACAGTGATGGTAGCTGGGTTACAGTGATACCAAAAAGCCTTCGTCGTGGGGTCATTCAAGAATGCCACCAACTAGCCCATACAGGAGTTACACGAACATACGACCTGGTGAGCCAAAGTGCATACTGGCCAAACATGAGAAGCGATATTGCAAACTACGTACTCGCTTGCCCACAGTGTCAATTGATGAAGGGTGATCGGTGCATTCGACCGCAGCTACAAACGATACCCGTAACGGCGGTTGGTGACTTATGGTCCGTGGACATAATGGGTCCTTTCCCTCAGACAGCAAGTGGAAATCAATACATTTTAATGATGACGGAACACGCCACGCGGTGGGTAAATGCTGTAGCGATTCCAGATCAGCGCGCCAAGACCGTAACCGAGGCGGTCATTCGACATATTGTGGCGGATCATGGTGTACCGAAAATGATATTGACAGATCAAGGCCCCTGTTTTGAAAGTGAGGAGTTCAAGACTCGTCTGGAGGCACTGGGTATTAAGAGGATTAGAGCGACTCCGTATCATCCGCAGACAAACGGCTTAACTGAAAGGAACAATCGTACACTCAAGGAGTGGCTAGCTGCGAAAAGAGGCAACTGGGAAACTGACTTACCGTTGGTATTACTAGCACATCGTGCCACAGTACAAGGGACAACAAAAAAGTCGCCTTTCCAGCTGATGTATGGGAGGAAACCACGCTTACCGGTGCACCATAAGACTTGGCCAACACAACAAAAATGGAACAGTAAGAGATGGACAAATGAGCGGAAACAAGCTATTCAGAATATACAAGAGAAGCGCAAGAAAGACATCGAAAATTATGGCAAGAAACAAATCAAAGCTTGGAAGCTGTTTGAAGTAGGTGACCAGGTGAAATGTAGAGAACGAAAGTATACTACCGGAAGTGGACCAGGATCAGGAAAGCTTCTGCCGAAGTGGGAGGGACCATATGTGGTCACATCGAGACGCGGTCCAGTGTACACAATAAAGAGAGGAGATAAAGAGAAAAGAGTAAACGCCAGTCTGCTACAAAGATGGAGAGAAGAATGTCAAGATGAGGTACCAGAAGAGCAGCAGGAAGAAACGTCTGTGCGGCGATCAAGGCGGTTACAGGAGAGACTTTATAATGAGGGGGCGAGTGTGGTGAGTGCTACTTATAATCCGATATAAGTAGTATATCAGGAACGAAGTAACAACATGTTTGGCACACTGGAAAGAGCAATCAAAGAAGAGAACCATGAGAAGAATGTTGCCATATGATGCAGAATCCAAGAAGCTATCGAATGAGACGATATTCGACCAATTCGTCAAGGATGTGGTAAAGATGTGCAAATGGCCGGTTTAGAATATGGTATTCCAAATTTAGCTATGTACCATACGTTTCACCAAATAAACAATCCTTTCAGTCTCCTCAGTCTTGTCTTCTTCACACTAGTTGTGGTCAAACGAAAACATGGCTGCATCAGTCAACAAAATTCACAACAGTTAGTTGAAGCCAGCCAGCCATATAGGGAGGTGTAGACTGCTTGACTGGTCGAAGTTCTTGGGATGGTAAAAACCAGTGGTTGGAGACAAGTGGTGATATGGCTGAAAATAGTTCTCAATGGCTGGTGCAGATGCATTCACTCTTTGGGATTTATTATATCCAATAAAATTCTATTGTTCTTCCATATTACTATTCTCTGTGCCACATATTTCTGTTTATAATCTCTCTCTTTTGAACCTCTGTTTATGCTCTTCTCTTGGTATGCGTGCTACATGGAAGGAGAGGGGCAACTCGAACTGATGCACATATGTGCAAAGTTATGCGCTGGAACCAGTCAGTCAGTCAGGCTCTGTAAAGAAGGCAATACAGTGCAATTCGCAGTCGTATATTAAATAAAAATTACTTGATTAACACAAAGATTCAATCGCTGATGCGGACATCCACACAACAATAGTGAGTATAAATCATCAAGGCTGTAGAAATTCCTAGATCCCACTTTGATACGATGAATTGCCTTTCTTATTTCAAAGGATCAACCGAATAACTATTTAAAGCCATTTTTATTCACTATTGTGTAATCTCTTTAGAACAAAAATGAAGCGGTAATGAATATACGTGAATACAATTCAATTAAAATAAGAAAAAAATGACTCTATTATTACAATATGCTCCAAGCGTGGTTTCCAAATGAGACGATGAATTGAACTTTTTTGTACACTTGTCCTTGATAACAACACTAAAATTTGACTTTTATACATTCCTAATACCTGA